ACTGCAGCAGCACCGAACTTTGTAATCAGCGGTCCTTGTGGTTTATGCTGGCAGCTCCTAATTGATGCAGTTAGCTGCGTGCAGTGAGTTGCGACTGGAACCCTTTAATTGATGCTTCGGTTGGGAATAGATTGCTGCAGCACTGATAGCAACTTTGTTTGGAAATCTAGTGGGAACTAGTTAAACGTGGAGGGGATACTTTTTGCAGGCATCAAGAAGAAGGTACGCCTGTGTTGAAGTAGTTTTTAATGTCCTCGCGTACTTTATGCTGCTCAATGGTAAAAGTTTGGGGAATTGTTCGTCGTACAAAGGAAAATTGTCGGAAAATTGTCTTCCCACTATCTGTGGTTAATACAGAACTTTACTAGGTGCAGTAAAATTCGGAATGAATTGGGTTCAATCAATTCGAAACACCCACCTTATTATTGGCACAAATAGCCACATTCATCGACTAGTAATCCATCTGTTTAATGTGCTCTTTCGAACACGCTCATCATTTGTTAATCATACTTAATGCCCCAAAACCAAAAAATAACCGCACCTGCTGCCACACCACTCTGCGGCCCCACCACATCGAAATGCTGAGCGATGCTTAGCCGGAATAAATCTACCATAAAGATGCTTGACATTATTCAAAATACGAAAACTACAGAATTCCCGAAATGCCTTGGCCAAAGGAGGAGGAGCTGCATCGAAAGCTGGAGCCGGAGCAGTTGGACAGGGCGATAATACGACGACAATGGGCAAAAAAGGCAATAAAATTTAATGCCAGATGAGGGAGTCGCGAGTGAATCGAGTGGAGCGTGGAGGCACAAACGACTTCATTTTATCTTAATGTGCTAATAAATTTCCGAGAGACGAAATCTCTGCCAAAAACCAAATAAATTTACTAATACACACGCTGCGTGGAAGGAATGGGGCCCATGTCGCCGAAAATGAAATGGAGCGCCAAGTAGTTGAATGAGTGGCATGCGTGGAATCGAAGAAATGCAATTAAGGCAGCCAAATCATCTAGAGAACCACTGGAAAGGGCGTCCCGCATGCTGTCCTAAGTGTTTAAGTAGCTAAACGCCTGACAACCGGAGAAGTTATGGCCCGGCCTGCAGCTTGAAGTTGGCGCGTGCTCCATGGACCGACTGCACCCACATCTCGGAAAGTATTCTGTCAACACAGTGGATGGTGCCGAAGAAGAGGAGATCCGCGGCCGATCTCCACTTGAATCCGGTGCTGACTATTCCAGTTGCACCCCATTTCGAGTGTAGGTTCCCTGCTCTTCTGCTCTATCACCTCCCCAATCGAATGGCTGAAGTGAAATTGCCCTAAAAGGGTTCATGCCTCGGGCTCGTAAATTTCGATAGCGCTCAAGTGGGGATGGGGATCTGGCACCTGAGTTGGCTATATCGGCTATATCGACGGGGTAGGAGCAATTCATTGGGAATGGCTTTTCTAATTACCAAACTTGATATCTCAAGTTTTATGATCGCTTGATGGAAAATTGTAATTATATGACATTTATAGCTCAAGCAGCTGAGCTTATAAAAGATCCAACAACTTTAAAATTGAATCTAAGAATTTCTTTCTCCAGGACTGTACTGAAAACTAAGGGTCAGTATAATGCCATTCTTCATTCTGGGCTGGACGCGCCTTTCAGTCGGTTACCACCCTTAGAAAAGTCACCCAAGAGTCCGGACCATACATGCAATCTCATATGCATTACTTTGCATGTCTGGCGAGTTAAGGAACTCAAGCGTAAAGGTCAAAAGATCAACGCTAGAGGGGCAAAAATGGCAGGGAGGGAGGTTTTTCTAAAGAATTTCCCTACTTTTCCCGTGTTAATGCTCTGATTTCGTTTTGAAAAATGTATGCAGCATTTGCATTTGCCCATTGTCCAGTTCGCCGATTAGGCGTGAAGTTCGGGATTTGAATAAGAGCACTACATTGGGTTTGGGTGACAGAATGCAGTTACTTTTTTTTTGGCGGGAAAATGGGGTATAGATTAATCAAAGGAAATGGTTTGGATTTTAAATAAATTAAACTGCTGACAGAACTTCCTAAAAGGCTGAAATGGGAGATGCAATATGCTGCTTTCAAATATTTCGTATGTATTTTCCAAACCTGAAAACCTTAAAACTCATTCAGAAATGCTTACCTTGATTCTTTTTTAATTTTGCAAAGATATTAAGCTGCATAAATAAATTATATGAACTAACACCGCAAGACGTAACTATGTTTACCCACTTCTCAGGCACACAATACTCCAGAAGAGTCTCCCAAAACGAGGTCAGCATCTCCTAATTAAGGTCACCTTCATCCCAGCTCCCTAGACCATCAATTCTTTCCCGAGCAAACGGCCTTACAACACGTTCCGCCTTATTATGACCATGCGAACAAAGAACAATAAAAAACAGAGCACATTTGGCCGCCACCCCAGCGGGCAGGCCTAGAAAAAAGTAACACTTAAAAAATTTGCAAACATGTTTTGCATGCAGCAAAACCGATCATCAAATATTCACATGCAATCAACGGAAATCTTAGGTAAATTTTCACCCAGAACCACGCAGCCAAGACAAAGCCGAGAAAATAAATGTATATCCAGAATGCAACCACCGATCTCAAAGATATCCAGCTGCTTGAGGACCCACGTCACGATCACGATTGGGACAGATCTTTTGTGCAAACTGGAGCGAGCAAATGCGAGTGCGAGTGCGAGTGCGAAAATCTACCCCATAATCGGAGGGAAAAACCCGAAATTAAACTTGGACAACCGGACAAAGGAAACTCAAATGTTTATTTGCGTATCGAAATGTGCAAATTTTTCCCATTTCCTATACCCTGAATATTCATAAATCTCTTGGCGAAAGGTAAAGGTACATTTAAATTCTCCATATTGTTCGGCGATGGAAATTCTTTCCGCTCGAAATCCAGTTAACTTTCGCTGACATCACCTGTCCAAATCGAGTGGCCCAGAAAGTCCAACACGATAATTGGTGTCATAAAAGTTAGTTAAATCATATTGGACGTCAGTCAAAGCAGTGACATTCCCAAATTAGAAAAAGTCGGTGGGGCGGCAACTTCATTGCGTGGTGATTGCCACGGCCATTGTTTTGATGACACGCCAAATGGTTTCTGTTTCGAAGACCATTCCACCTGTCAGCCAAATGGACAGCAATCCGAACACACAATTATCTGCCAAATGACGAGGGCGTGTCAGGTGGCGCTTACCATTTTGGTTGGCTATACTTGTATAGCTATATATGTATGGTCTATATACCTCCCGGTGCCCAGCAATAATCACAAATTTACAGGTCGACGTGGGGGACAGCGCTATGCCATTTGATGTGGACTTCCGATTGTGGCAATTATATGTAAATTAATTATGGGGTTCAGGTTGGCCCTAATTGAGACTTACCTTACCATTCAGCTTCAAGCCCAGCCCTAAACTGCAGCTCACTGCCATTTGGCAAACTAGTTTTGGCATGCAAATTGACAAGTTGTCCGCGACTTGGCCCAGACAACTCCAGATACTCTGTGGCAAAGCCTTTTTCGTAAGTGGCGGAGACAACTCAATGAGGTCTGTAAATGTTATGCTCGATTGAGGGTCCCGCAACGGCAGACGTTGCAAGTGAGTTAACATGAAATGGCAGACTCAGTTACGGATGCAGATTTGGTCTCAGACCGAAGTGAAGATGCCGATGGAGATGCAGATGGAGATGCAGTTGCAGATACAGTTGCAAATGTGCAGCTGCCAGCGATCGAAGTGGCGCGATCATGTGCAAAAACTTATTTTTTCGGAGGGGGCACTCTGGGGCGCACTTGACACGAAGAAATAATTCCATTGAGCTGGCAACTATGCCGGGAATCTCGGGCGAGACAAAATTAGACAAGAAGCGTGATTTACGGAACCCTTAAATCACATGACAACAACACACAGATCGGCACAGATCGAGAATCGAAGAGCAAATGCGATGACAATGTCTGGGCAGCACATGTGGATGTGTGGATCTAGACGTGGATGTGGATGTGGATGTGGATGAGGATGTGGGCAACTGGGAATGGGAATGGGAATCAGAATCGAAATCGAAATCAGAATGGGGCTGGAACTGGGAGGCGGACAATGAGAGTGATACTGATACCGAGTCGATCGATCGACGCTTCCCCTTGGCAGTCCCCCCACTGATTTATGGCAATGCAAACGGGGAGCCATCAGACATAAAGACAGACAGATCCCGAGGAGTGCGAGATCAAAGCAAATCAGACTGTCTGCAGAGCTTTATGCCCTGGTAATTTTATATGCTTGTACTGAGAGCTGATCATCGATCACTGATCGCTGATCGTGTGACCACACTGGGGTATTTCCAGTCAATAAAAAAGTACCGCCCTGTTGTTGTTTTTCTACTTAAGAATCGAGACGATTCTATCAGCTTAATGCCCAGCCTTCAGGCTTCCGTATGGCTGTGGTTTTGCCCAAAAACACAATATACACTGTATGTTTACAAACGGCGGAGTGACTAATTATTCGCACCTTCCACTGTGCCTAAAAACAAGTTTCTTGAGTGACTAGTCGAAAAACCTAAATTTAGCTTCACACTGCGCTAGATACAAACGTTGAAAGCCTACCTTTCCACTTTAAAATTATAAATCACTTAGTCCCAAAAATTACTTTCCAACGAAAGGAATCCCCTCCGAATCTGCCTAATTCTTTAAACAAATATTGATTGGAATTTTACATTAATTGGAGTCGATCGGAAATTCACGAGATGTTTGCGTGAACCGGCTTATAGATCGTTTGCTTTCGTCATCGAATTTGGGAATATTTTTTGAAATGCACAACATTAAGCCGTAATAGCCGGTGGGGCTCCTTTTCTTCTGTTGTTCGTATTTAGTCACCTGGCTAGAACAGGTTCCACATTTGGCCATTGTATTTTGTTTAGATTGTTCTTGAATCTCATTAATATCAAGACGATAACTGCTCGATTCTGCGTTCCAAGTCGACTATATAAGCTGATCTGAAGTGCCGGCTTAGTCAGTTAACCCTGAAATATCAGTGTGATTGGATATTCTCTCACCGAAAGTAAAAATGCGTTCCGCGATTTTGTTCGGCCTTATTGCTTGCCTGGCTTTTAGCCTCGTTTTGGCCCTGGAGGAGTCCGTCCATCAATCCAACGATCTGTCGTCGGTGGAAAAGGATATTGGCCAGGCTGCGGAGTCCGAGGTGCGTGCCAAGCGGCAGTTCGGCTTTGGTGGTCCCTTTGGCGGATTTGGAGGACCTTTCGGCGGATTCGGCGGCTACGGAGGACGTGGAGGCTTTGGTTATGGACGTCCCTTCTATGGCGGCTATGGTCGACCCTTTTATGGCGGCTTTGGAGGAAGGCCCTTCTACGGAGGCGGCTTCGGAGGTCCTTTCTATGGCTAAATCTCCTACTGATTGCGTTCTACCAATAAACTAAGACTGGAAACTGAGATTGTGTGCGTTTTTCGTAGTGTTGGGGATCTGAGGAGTCCCAAATTATCTCGCAACTTGACCTCGACCGAATGAATGTGTGTGACCCAAAACGACGACGTGTTCGAAACGGGCCTCTCGTGGGGGACGGGGAAATATTTTAAAAATAAATAACAGAAAATCTCCATTTATTTATTAGTTCGTTCGCCAGGTCTTGCTCCTGAGCCATGCTAATTATAAGTCCAGGAGGGTGTGTTTGTTTATGTTCCACGAGCTGTCACGATCTGTTTGCTTTCTTTTCGGGCACTTTGGAGCTCCTCCACTCCAGATTAGGCGGCTTGTGTGGGAGTTTGTGGGGTTTGCGGCAATTATCACGTACGAATGTCATAATCATCATATGGATTTTATTAGCTGGACCTCTGGGCCAATCTCCGCCTATCTGTCTTGATGGGATGGTTCTTTGTTCTGCGGAAGCTTGGACTTTGAGTAGTCCCGTGCAAGAGAATTATGTAAATATTTAGGGGATGTCATCATACAGTTGTCATCATACGCTGGCAACTTTTCTGCAAAGCTGCAACCATTAATCAAGTTAACAATTAGGCATTTAGCAGTCAGCTAATCAAATTTGCAGCATATGCGTTAAATACCACATAAAGTTTTATTGGACCATCGCAATGATGTACTAATCCCCTTCTAATCAACATGAAAGCCACGGAAATTATCCTCCGCTCACTTGTGCATATCAATTTGCGGCCAAACCCACCAATAGATTCTTATCGATGGTTCGAGGGGCTCGCGCAAACAAAACGCCCAACTCGATGACTTACCCCAAAACACAGCACGCCCTCGCTCCGAGGATTCAGGATGGCAGGATGTGAGTGGAGTGGGTCTGGGTGGTGCTGTCATTGTTTAATTGTCAATAGACATCGGCCTCTATCAATATCATAAAAGCTAATAACTCTCGGTTGGCTGGACGAGCCGCAACTGACAGCAAACCTGGCCAACCCCTCGCTCTAATCCCACCGGATATGCTCAATCAAAGCTGAAAGTGGGCGGAGGTGGGTGGTGGGTGGTGAGGTGGCCAACTCAACCTGTCTGCTGGGGGTTGCTCGGTAGCTGGAAATCATCGCATTTCATTCATCACTTTTCGCCTTTTCAACGCGACCGAAACCCAACCAACTACCCTCCACGGATCCGAACAGGACTTGGACATGCTTCCCTTCCTCCTGTTTTGGCTGGCTTGTTTTGATATTAAAATTGCGTAATTATAATTAACCACATGTGTGTGTCGGGGAAGCGGTTTAGCATGTCCTTTGTCCTTTGACTGCTTCCGCCCGTTGGTTAAAGTTACTTCCTCCCGTTAGTGTCACGTGTGTAACTCCGTAAGCGATCTAAGGGAAGTCCCCTTTCCTTGCCCCGAGGGCATAATCCATAACTTAGCAGACTGCCAGGCAATTGATACAACTTCCAAGCCGCATAACCTCGTAATTAAAAAAGGGATATTTTCATTTTAATTGGGACGACACACCTTCTGTGTTTAAGGTGTCATTTCAGGACCCCCGATTTAAAGGAGGAAGTGTTGGTGCAATGTTACGGTTGATTAAGTATATAATCAACTCTACTAAATGAGTGCACCTACATATGTATCTATATTGATGTTTTAGATATGGCACTCGGTCGAAAATGCAATATACCCGTATGGTTGTTTATAAGGTTACGCAACCAAATGAAATGCAGCTTTATTACTAGCGCTAAATCCTCTGCGCTAGGTCAACCAATTGGCTATAGTGTTTTGCTTAGATTTTGCTTGAATCTCATTAGTTCACAAACTATAAAAACCCTTTAAAGAACCCACCGTGTATCAGTTTAACCGACTGATTTAAGCTTTCGGAAGTTCCCTTATCGAAAGTGAAAATGCGTTTCGTCTTTTTATTCGTCCTGCTATCGATCCTGGCTTTCAGCCTGGTTTCAGCCAAGGAACAATCAAAAGCCGATTCGTCGCCTGGAGGGAACCATGTCGGACACACAGTGAAGCCTCGATTGCGAGCCAAGCGTAATCTATTCGGCAGTCGGCCAACCATTAGTGGGCAAATACAACGATATGCCTATGGTTATCCTTATAACCACGGTGTACCTACTTACTATAGGTACCCGTATTACAGCTTTGGGTTCTAATCCAGTAGCTAGAGCTTGCTGCAAATAAACAATAACTCCGTGGTTTTCTTTGATTTCAATGATCATCACAGCTTTGAAATGAGTACAGTATTTAATGGGGCTTATGAACATAGGTCTATTTTTTCCAATTCCAATCCAAAGTTGACTCTTACTTTTCCCAAAACTAAACATCCATCAAGTAATGCGTATGGCCCACAAAATCCCTAATTGTAATTAAGCATGGGAATCCTCAACAGCAGCACTTGGGAATCCGAGCCCGAGTAACCGAAAAATGTGGCCAATAAAATTACTACGAGTGTGGGGCTTCTTCAGCGAGATGGTACTACGGGTAGGAGTAGGAGTACGAGACCAGGGTGCCGACATTCCAGATACCAGATACAAGATACCAGATACCAGAAGAAGAAACAGAAACAGACGGAGAATGGACTTGCACTGGGGGATTACAAACGTGTTGCCATTAGTTAACTTCAGCTTTGATTGATTTCAATTAATCTTGGACGCGTGTAATTAATCATTGAACACTTTAATATGGTTAACAACTCTTGACCAAGCAACGGTTAAAAAGGTTCAACGAGCCATCGTCTTCGCCAGCGAATGAGGCCCAAGACTTTTGGCTCTGGCAACTGACAAAGTGACTGACCACCACCACAAGCCAGCCAAGCCGAATTGGTGGACCGAGGACTGGTGGACTCTGCGGTTACCGAGGCAGCCGCCGTCGCCAAGAAAAATGGCCAAGTTTGGAAAATGCGTTGGAGTAATAGTCGGTAACGAGCCCGAGCTTGTGGATGGATTTCCATAGCCCAGTCCCGGAGGCAAGTCTTGGGATTCAGATTCAGATTCAGCTTTAGCTCCAGCTTTGGCCAACTCCACACTCAGCCCCCGACTAATTGTACTTAGATTTCGCGCCACTTTGGGCAACTTTGTGGTCTTGGCAACGTGGAAAGCGGTCGGCGATGATGGCTATCAATGCCGATGACTTATAGCCAGAGTCGCAGACCGAGGCGCACATGAGCAGAGCCAGCCAAACTGGCAAATCCATCCATCTATGTGGCACATTTGACTGCAGCTCGGCTTGATTATCTTGGCTTTTCCTTCTCCGTAGACTCGACGCCCACCTCACCCCTATTGATTTTCCCAGGCCGAACAAATAGCTCTGGGCAGCGGGAAACAGTCTGCCAAATTTCGTTTGCGGCTGGACCAAAATCGGCGGGTAAGAGATCCGTATAGGGTGTCATTAGGCGGGTTCGATTCGCCTTCTTTAAGTGGAGCCACAATAGGAGTACGGTGCCCCCGTTTAAGACTCCACATCGGGGTGCCACAAAGGAAACCATCCATCGGAAACCAATTGAACGAATTTCACACATGGGCGCTAATGAATTTAATGAAGTCATTTTTCTTTAACCGATTTACAAAACTACTTACAACTGGCGGACCAGTGAGTCCGCCGCCCCAGAACAAGCGAGTTCATAATTTTGCATCATTAATCACGGTCCTAACAAAGAGATCTCGGCCAGACCGATTGACAGGCGGCAAAAGGGGGGAAAGTAATTTAGGCAGCCAGCCTAGATCGCAGTGCCGCTGATTTGCCGCTGGGAAATTAAAAAACAATTGTTAATTATTAAATTTTAAATTTTACACTTGGCCGCAAACGATCCTCTGTACTTCGGAGGACCATTCGGGGAGCTGTTCCGCAGTAGAAAATATAAAAACCTGGGGCCAATCATTGTGGCTCTGGTCGACACCTCGCTGATGAGATCATTCATCACCGCCGTAACCCGAGTGAAATGAGTTGCCATTGTTGCGGGCTGCTGCAGTTCGGACAAAAACATTTCAGACTTGGAGGAGTCTTCTTTTCACTGTGATCTTTTTGGCATGGGTTCATTTCGGTTTGACTGCTCAATTATCGGTTTGATGGGTCTGCAGGAGGAGTCGGATCGTGGAGACCCGCATGGAGCCACGGGAAAGTTTGGGTTTGGGGATACGGCTGTTAAATGTTTCACGTTTGAATGGATTGGTGCGACACATTCGATGCCACTTCCAAAATACTTCCGACAAGAGGTAAAAATCGATTGGAATTAGGTGATATTGTGTTTACCAATCTCTCTAATACATTTAGCTTATAGCTTATATGCCATGGACACAATCGACAATTGCCGCATACTTTTTAATAAACTGCATTTCAGTGGACTTTTTTAATGCATTTTCTTGGTTACAAAAATACCATTTCAAGTTTTTCTCTTCAAGAATCCTAATCCAAAACTGCGTTTTTCTTTCGGCTGACCGAAACCGAGCAAATGCGATCACGACCGCAACGTTGCGCTTCATTAAAATCGGATTAGAGTGCGGCAACGAGGAGTCCTGCCAAAGGACACCCAGCTGATCTGGCCAATGTCCCCGGCTGGCTGACCAGTGTCCGATTCCCACGATGCAGCCGTGGCTATAAATCCCCGAGCGTCTTGGGCCGTATGCAAAAACGCAAGCCGCCGAAGATGGAATTAAAATCGAAATGCGTATAAAATCGACCCAAAATCAACCCCAAAAACGCTGTGGATTCATGGGCGAAAAACCCAGGTAATCGGAGTGGACAAGCGGAACCCTTTTGGCGCTGCCCAAATATGCTGTAAAATTTCAAGAAAATCGAGCAGAAAATTCGTACAGACGCTGGACAATGTCCAGATATTTCGGGGGTTGCTACTAGGGACTCGAGCTTGCTTCTGGCTTCGGCAGAGGTTAAGTCCGTCGCTGGGCACTCGAGCTCGAGTTCAACCGGCTACCTGGGATGCTGCTGATGCATCGCCAAGAGTTTTGGGCATCTGGTCCAGTGATCTCTTATTGTTAACGCTGCCGCCTCTGACCTTTGGCTGTCTCACGCAATTAGGCAAACTTGGCCGGGGTCACAAAATATGTGCATATTCCATTTGAATATTTTGCCTCAATCTTTTGCATACAGTTGGCCGCTTTTCTTCTGTTTTTCTATTCGAGGGACGCCTCCCTTCGGCGGATTTGAATAAGTGCTAATGATTTGTGACATGTTTCAGTGCGGCAGCTAAAGGCTTTTATGGCGAATGTTTAATTCATGGCTTCGGCCTGGAAAAACGCCCATAAACAAGGCGGAGCGTATATTATAGTAGCTCATACTAAAAAACCCCCAAAGGGGCAGGTTCGCATGTAATTACGTACACACAGCTACATACACTGCACACAGACACAGATACAGATACTTCGACAGCGACTGACACATGTGAGCAGTGGCTGACCTTTGACATGCGCTCTCGAAATACATTTCGAGTGGAGCACAAACACATGGGCCCTGCCTTTCCCCACCCTCCACCACCCACTTCCACTCCATTCGATTCAGTACACCTACTTCGGCATTCTGTGGCAAAGCGAACCCTTAACAGCTTTGTGGCTCGCATGTCAAAGGGGCCTTCATGGAATGGTTTCGTCCTAAATGCTATTTCGATGGACAAACACAGACTAAATAATGGGAGATACTTTTAATTGGTTCAAAGAAATATATAGACACAGCCACGCAAGGAACAAAAGGGTTTATATATATAGGAAGTAAAGGATTAATAAAAGAACATAGACAAAAAAAGGAAATAACATATTTTTAATATGAAAATATATTAAATAAATATAATTAACGCTGTTTACTTAGACGTTACATAAGGATATTAATATTTGAAATATCCAAATGTATCATACACTTAAGTTGTATGTTCCATTTTCAACAACCGAGTTACTCCTCCGCCGATTTTACACTGAAATAGATCCATCACGCGGTGATGAATGCTCATCAAGCATATTGGGATGACAAAGTTGCTAACAACAAAGGTTTTTGTTGCTGTTGAATTTGTTTTTTCTTTTTTTTGTGGCTGGCGAATTTCACATTTGTGTACGCGACTCCGAGCAACGGAATACAATTTCAGCATTTTCCAGCCACGGCCGCTCCACTTTCACAATGAATCATCGGGCTAAAAACAACAGCCAGCGGAGGGAACTTTTTCTGCAGACCAACTGGGAGAATGGTGTGGTGTGGTACGACTTAGGGGCGTGGCAGTAGTGGGCGTGGGAGAGGGAGGGCGGGCGCGTGTTCGTCAGTTTAACCAGCATGACATGGCCCGGTCCATTGCGGTCCTGGTCTCTGGCATTTTAGCACTTATTCATAAAGTCCTTGCCAGCAACGGAAGACAAAAGGCAAAAAATAGAAGAGCAAAACCGCCAGAGAGAAGAGGAATTACTAAAAATTTATCAATGTAAAAGTTTGCCGGTTGCGGTGGGGGGCGGAGTGGTTAGAAAGCAGGAAACAAGCAACAATGTAAATTATATGCCAGTTGGTTTTTCTATTTTAGGAGGGGGTGACGAAAAAGGGGGGTGCACACTGCGAGTGGCTGGTCCACAGCTTTCCCTTTGTCCTGCAATGGGAGCAGATTCATGTAGCAACCAGAACATGTATCCCTAGCCGTGCGTATGCTTAAGAGCCAGCCAAAGTCCTTGGATCACAGAGCTCCGTGCATTCGAGTGCAGCAGTGCATCCACATGTGGCACGCCGAGCTGCAGAGCACAATGTTGCACATAAGTGAAATTAACCATAAGATATTTACATTCAATTTCAGAACCCATTTATGTGGGTTTCCTCCTGTTTCTGTTTTTTTATTTTTTAAATAAGTGCCATCAAAACTGAGTCTTTACTTACTAAGAATATCTTAAATTTGGGCTGCAATCATCGTTTTACACAACCTTTTAAATGAAATTATTTAAATTATTATATAAATATTTTGATATATTTAAAGAAAGTCAGATCATCCTGCAAAGTTTCATACCGAAAATCAATTGGGGCTGTTATATGGCTATCTTTTCATGTGTATTTTATACTTGCATCACAGGCCCGGAATACCTTACAATCTGGCCAACTGAAGTTGCACGTACAGCTTTTTCCACCCAGCCAAAGTGGGCCCACTTTCCACCCCCCCCCCCCCCCCACCTTTCCCCCGAGGACCACCCTCTTTCAATGAACTGTCCAAAGCAGAAGAGGAGCACAAAAAATGGCCAACCAGGAAGGGAAAGAGCCAGCAG